TTTGAGGACTTCACATGCACCTTCTTTTACAGCTATACCTTCTTTCCAGAGTTGAAAGTACCTATGCTTGATGTCCCCCATTGAATTCACTGCCACCTTGGTCAACAACTGTGTTGTTTGAATGACACTGTTGGTAGCTGAACTTTTGGTGTCAACACCGCTTCCCCATGAGTGGGGTCATGTGCCAGGGACACGAAGCCGCTCTGGTCCAGCTGCCAGGCGGTATCTACCAGCACTCTGATGACATTTTACTGAGCTCTGGTATCACGATGATTAGGGGCTTTCTCCAGTGAAAGAAATGGAAGTTGAAGGAGTTGGAAGTGCATCGTTAATAGAAGACGAAACCTATGAGAAGTGCTTTTAACACCTAAAGGAAAACTTGTTCTGTTAAGAGTCTGAAGGCTTTTACCTCTGCTCCTTTTACATATTCTGTGAAATTTTAATGCCCGTCAAACTAGAGTGCACTTCAATAAGTATTAAATTTTGTACCATACCCAAAAGGTGCGAGTTGATGGCATAATGGCCCATCTGCATAACACATCAAGAACATAGGATGGGATGCACACCGCTGACAAAATACTCATTGACATAGGGAGAAAAGGAACAGGAGAAAAGTAAAAGCAGCTCAGAATACGTTCATAAAAATGAAATCTCTGCCTTAAGTGGCTTAGCTAACGGGAGCTTTTCTTTTCTAAAGCATTAAATGTGGCCTCCCAAGTGTGATCATTCCATGAACCCAAATGTCAGCTTCCAGTCACTAGCTGGCATTCGGAACAAGTTTTCCCACTTATTGTAAAAGAGTGGTTATCTGCTGGCTAAGTCCCCTTGAAATCCCGAGATAACTCGCAGGCTCCAGACACAGTCCCACTTCTCTCACGCTCCCAATTCTGAAAGTACAGATAGTTCACCAAAGGGAAGAAAGGCAGCCTGAGAATTTTTTTCTAACAAAATAAAAATAAAGGAAGAATGAGGCCAATTTTCACCTATCACTATGATCTCTAAATTGCCTTTAATAAGCTTCTGCAATAAAACAGGGAGCCTGGATTGTGGGCTGCTCGTCTGCGAAGGAGACAGCTCTATCTCCGCGCCGTGGCTTCTGCCTCCGTCCCAGGCATATTAACTTCATTTATCTCCTCCCACAGACTGAAGGAGAAATAACCAGCTCTTGATTTCAGCACCTGCCCTTTATCTCTGTGTTTATGCAGAAGTCTTCTAAAAGGCTAATTACTCAGCTTGGACTTTCCCTGCCTTCCACAGGCTAAAAGCATACGCTTAAAATAATGGTAATGATATTGTTTGTCTCCAGTCAGCTTGCTCCAGGACTGGAAGGAAAAGACAAGTTAGATCTCCCATTTCCCAATAATTATTTGCTAAGAAAACGCAGGACATCTTTCCCAACACACATACACACACAAATATATAAATATATATATAAATATATATGTGACCTACTGCGAACACACATGCTCGCTTTGCATCCCACGTTGTTTCCCACAGTGGAAGGGAGCAGGGTGTGCAACAAGACTGATAAGCACCGTTATGCGGATCAGGATCGTGGCCCTAAGTGCTGTTATTTTTAGTTGGCGTTTATTCACGTTCAAACTACGGTCGAAGCAACAGGCTCAAGATCTGAATACACGTAACACCTCTTGAATGCTCACTTCCTCAACAAAGGCCAAGATAAGCAACTCGAAAACGTTCTCAATATTCATCTGTGCATACATTAGGTACTTTTATGGAAGAAAAAACCCCACCATTGTCTGAGCTGCAGGGAAGCAAGGGAGTAAAAGCGCTGCTTCAGTCCTCTTTTTTCCAAATCAAACCCGCCTCCCTCGGAGTCCTTCAGCTGAAGACGGTAATTTCTAGGAGGTAGGAGGAATCTCTCTGCAGGGTCTCTTGTACTTTAGAGCACTTCAGGATGTTATGGCAAAAGGCAAGGACGGCTTGAAAATTAATTAGCAATTACCCGCAAAGCCAATCTATACATTTTCAGGATTAAACTCCACAGCTTTACACATTGTAATTATGTGTCTGTCACGTCAACCCAGATGCGACAGAGCCCTAGTTCCTCTACACACTGTCCAAGCTAGCCAGGCACAAGCCAACTCCTATCCATAAAACAGAATCATAGAATAGAATCATAGAATTGTTTAGGCTGGAAAAGACCTTGAAGATCATCAAGTCCAACCATTAACCAACCCAGCACTGCCAAGTCCACCACGAAACCATAGAAACACAGAGTATTTTGGGTTGGAAGGGACCTTTAGAGGTCATCTAGTCCAACCCCCCTGGAGTGAGCAGGGACATCTTTAACCAGATCAGGTTGCTCACAGCCCAGTCCAACCTGGCCCTAAGCACCCGTCCATGGCCCTACGCACCTCGGCTGCCTGGCTTTTAAATCCCCCCAGGGGTGGGGACTCGACCCCTTCCCTGGGCAGCCCCTTCCAGTCCCTGACAACCCTTTAGGTGAGAAAATTTTTCCTAATGTCCAACCTAAATAATTGGGGAGCAGGGCTGGACCTTGTAACCCACACCTGCATCTCTACGGGGCTGAACTTGGAGCAGCCAGGTCGCCTTCTCTAAGACAGAGAAATCCCTCCGCTCCAGCCCCCCCAGGTCCTTTGGGGAGGGAGGGGCCCAACCCTGACCCCAGCATTCGAGGGGCGGCCCCCCCAGTGCCCAGCACAGGGGCACCATCACTGCCCTAAAGCTACTACCCAGAAGCTACTTCTCTGAATTGGCTGCACCCAAGCCAGTCTGTGTTAGAAAATCACCCTTTCAGTGGGCAATATTGGTCGGTCTACTCAGCGAGACATCTTTTGTCTCGCAGACACGAGCTTAGCGATGCAAACAGCCACGGAGCCATTTGTGCAGGCAAAGCGACTGTGGGTAGGGCTGCTCCCACCCATCCAGACATGCCCAGCGTGTGTCATTAAAGACATGTGGATTAAAGCTTTCTCCTTTATTTAGCTGCTGAAATTCCTCAGAGTTGCCAGAGTTATTGTGTAACTGTATCTTTAGTGTGATCTTAATATGATTTGGTCGACCTTTAGAATAGCTCCTCCCGAAAACTTCGGAGACTGAAGCGGGAAGAGC